AATCTACAATCAGATATCTGTCAACTAATTCAACACATTTCTGATGACAATATATAGTGAAATCATTAATTTATGCTGAACATTATTCTTGCAATTAATCAAACAAAACTAAATAAGTCTTAAGACAAAAATATGGACTGAATCAATAGAGAAAAGTTCTTTTATTTCTACACAAGAGAATAAGCGTATTTTCGTATAAATATTTTTGTAGTCAAAAGGCGTCTGAATCATGATTGATATATGATCCAAACGTGGAAAGCGAACACGTCCAGGTGCGGGTTACATGAAACGTTTCTTGGGTCTAGACGTGATTTCAAACAGAATCGTATCTGCATGCATTCTAGATGGAATTTAAAAAGCAAATTTCGATCGATCTCAAATTAAAAATAAGCCGGCATCGACATCATGTTACGATGATTTTAGTCTATCATGATAAATGCATTCAATAGGGTGTGAGTGTGAGTGTGGCTGCGGGTGTGGGTGTATCGGTATAGGTGGAGTGTGGCTGTTGGTGTAGGTGTATCGGTATAGGTGGAGTGTGGGTGTGGGTGTATGGCTGTGGGTGTGTTGGTATCACTGTAAACAACAAAGTCAGCGAAGCCCATATCCACCGCAGTCACAACACACCCACACCAACCCCCACCCAGACACTCACCCACACCCACACCCACATCAATCTCAAATGAGTAATCTTTCAATAATTAAGAGAAGGAAAAAGAAAAATTATAGTCGATTAGTTAAACGATTAAGACATAAATTTAGATTAGCTAATATTATAATACGAAAATCAGATAAATCTAAAGTATTTCATTTGGGACTAACAGAAGATTATCATAAGAAATTTGAAGAATATATAGAGAAAACTAAAGCATATCAATGTTTAGGAATTAATGAACCATTACCAGATTTAATCAAACGTACCAATAAATATTTACTGGATTTACGTTTAACCAAATGGATTACTCAGAAACAATATGAATTATTATTTATTAATCGAAATGAAGTTGAACTCGCTCATTTATATTATTTACCAAAAGCTCATAAACTTGGTACTCCACTCCGTTCCATAGTTTCTGGTCTTAAACATCCAACAGTTCAAATTGCAAAATTTCTTGATAATTTACTTCGACCTTTGTTCGATACAATGGTCTCCAAGTCAACTGTAACTTGTGCCTTTGAATTAGTTAAAGACTTATAAGAATGGTCAAAGAATAATATACGCCAAGAAACTTTATTTTGTACAATTGATGCTACAGACATTTATACAATGGTACCACAAGTTGAAGGAGTACTTTCTTTGAAGAAAATGTTAGATTATTTAAACATAAAACAAATTGGTGGTCTAAAAATCAAAACAATAATTAGATTAAGTCGATTTGTAATGAAAAATAATTATTTTTCATACAATAGTCAATATTATCATCAAATTCGTGGAGGAGCAATGGGTTCTCCTCTAACTTTAACTGTTGCAAATTGTTAAATGTTCTTTTGTGAACGGAATATAGTTAAACAGATCGGCAATAGTCGTGGCTTATATTTTCGTTACATTGATGATATATTTTTAGCAGACACTGGATACTGAATACAGTACTTGGTACTTTTTTTACTTTTTTACTTGACAATCGCAAGTAACAAGTAAATTTTTGTAGTACAAGTAAATGTACTTGTACTTTCAAAACTGTACTTGGTACTTGTACTCAGTACAAATTTACTTGAGTACCGGTACTAAGTACAATTGTACTTGAATATCCTTTATTATTGATTATTTCTATTGATTTTTGAATTGCGTTTGTTTATTTAACTTTTGTTTGATGAAATATTCTGTGAACATTTGAAATTCCGTTTCTGATTTCGCTCCTTCTAAGCACATGTGATTTTGTTACTTTTTAAAGAAAAGAACCTGATGCATAGTATTCTTCAAATATTGAAGAAAATATTATTAGTACTACTGTCTGTCCAAAAATAGTGGCCGCGGGTATTTTTGAAATACCCCAAAAACATAAAGAATTAGATAGCTGCGATTTTCACTAATATATAGGTATATGAGTACTCTATATATTTACTAAGACATGCTGAAAGTCCTTGCAGATTTAGGGCTTCATCAGCGTTAGATATGCACCAGTTCCAGTCCGACTGGTGAACTGGGTACCATTTGAATTGGGTTCCTAGTCCGACTGGTACCTAGTTCGACTTGTATCGAGTGGGACTGGATACTAGTCCGACTGGAACTGATTCAACTGGTTACCAGTCAGAACTGGATACCCAGTCCGACTGGGACTGGTGCATATCTAATCAGCGTCAATCTTTCAAAGAATACATAGCAGTTTTCTAATGTCTC